AATACAGTAGAGCGTCGTTTATCCGAAGGTCAGTTATCCGAAACGTCGGTTATCTGAAGGAATTCCAGTTGACAAATTTAAATTTTCGCCAGTGCTGTGGCACTGTAATCTTTGGCTATTTCTTTGGCTACTCAAATATTTTACGTTTTTGATACTAAATTAACTTCTGAAGTATAATTTTTTATTGTTTTTATATTTTTAAATATATTTATTTTGTTTGTACAAAATAAAAAAATAATTTTTAACGATACAATAGTCTTCGTTAGGCTTAACATCGACGAAAATTCAACGCAAAGCGACACACAACAGAGAAAAATTTCAACACGGGATAAATTAATATATTTTTTCGTACATAATTGGTTATCCAAAAAATAAGTTATCCAAACAAATGACACTCTACTGTAAATGTGTAGGAATAAATTTTCATTTATTCAATATTTATTTTCCAATAGACAAAAACTATTCCATTATATAAAAAAACATTTCTTATAGATAAAATAAAATATGAAATTAGAAAAAATTATAAAGTTTAACTTAAACTATTTCTATAGAAAACATCAATGATATTTTAAAAATACTTAAAAGTACCTCTTCAACATGGTTCTCTGCTAATAATTTCATTTGAACACTAGTCCGGCCTTTACCAATAACATTCTGAAAATATTTTGAACATCAGTTTAAATAAGAAATTCTAAAAATATTATTTCTAAATAAATTATTTCATACAATTATAAAATATTTATTTGATTAACTTATGTCATTATTAAATAAGTCAATGAAATATAATTTGTCTATTAATGTTTTAAATTATTTAAGATTCTAATAAATTTGATGTATAAAGATTTTTGCTTTGACCAAATAAAATATACCAGCATTAAACTGATTTCACAAGAAATGGTAGGTCGTTAATCAAAATAATGTTTAGGGTAGTTGTGACTGCCAGCTAGTGTTGCTAATTCTTCTTGAGATAAACTGGTTGTCACACATTGTGTCAGCAGTATATATTACATTATTTTAATATTTTACTCACTAAATACATGCTTATGTATAGGTACAACTTGTTTCATGAACCTTGACTTGGCTGTAAAAATGCACAGTAGCAAGGACCAGTCTATTTACTTAGTGAAGGAAATAGAAGTTTGTTGAATATAAAGTCACTGTACATCATCAAAAAAGAGGCTCTTAAACTTTATTAAACTTCCGGAGCCCCAACCAAATATTGTAATTTCCTGGTCAAAATATACAAAATGGTCTGTACAATATATCTGCATTTTTCTTAAAGGATATAACTTTATTTTAAAAGAAAGTTGTCTAAGTCAATAGAATATTTAAAAATGATTTTGATCCACTTTTTATCAGTACAATTACAAATTGTCTTGTACGTATTAGGTTGATAGTGACCGGTGACTTCAATATAATGAATCATTCCACATTAATTGAATCATGTACTGAATGAAGTCACATTAAATGAGATATTCTTGTATTTTATACCAAAAAACTGAAGAAATGAAATTTATACTAAACATTATTACCAAATCTTTCTACAATGTTAAATTTATTAAATGACAATTATCAATACATTGAAAATACTTTACATCTTAAAATGGTAATAATTAATTTAACTTTTTAAAGAAAATTTCATACCTTTAAGTGAACTTTACAAAGAGCAAACAAATTTCTTCCATATATTTTAAATAAAGGATGATCTAAAGTAATGTCATATTTTTCCAAAGCATTTACAACTGCTTCTCGTAATTTCTAGATAAATAATTTTAATCTTAGTGAGAAGTTACTTGTAAATAAAAAAAGATTTTATCATATAGTAATAAGACAACTTACTTTTTTGTGTCTTTCAGATAATTCATCAAAAGATAATTCTGATTCTCTATCTTTTAGCAAGTCCTCTGAATTTTCAGAATTAAAACTTGAAGATCTAAAAAAAAAAAAATATTTATAATGATGAAATATTGAAATCTATAATTATGCCATTAAAAATTATACTTAAGCCAATGTCTAATCTTAATGAACTATCCAGTAATTAATCTGATAGAATAAAATCTGTACATTTAAAGAGCCAAAACAGTAATAAAATATGAAAAAATTTATTTATTTCTTTCTTTCATAAGTTAAAGGTTTTATAAAAACTATTATCATAGATTTATTTTTAAATTATATCATCTCATTTGTCTTCATTGTCCCTAAAGCATTACTTTTTTGTGCTCAAAAATTTTGAAGTAATTAATTACTTTTGCTTACAACTTTATCCTGAAGATTAAATTTTATAAGCTACATATAAAAAATGATTTTAAATTAGATTTTGCGATTTCCTTCTTAAGAAAAAATTAATACTTAATCAAGAGAACATCCTCTCTTTTAGTAGATATGAAATTTAGTAACAAAATTTTTTATACAGTAATTATTAATATAGTTTAGTAGTATTGTTATTAGTGGCTTAATAATTGAATTAATCCTGAAAACAGTGTTTGTTCATACAGACACTATGTTATCAAAGGCATAAATACTACATACCTTTTTTCTTCATGATATTTGAAATTTTCCTGGCTTGTTCCATTACAAATAGAATTTGTATCATCATTTGTATTTGTAACTTTTATCCTCTGTATATCTTTTCTTAGTGGAAGCTTTTTTTTAATCTCTTCATTTGAAGAAATGCATTTATTTGCATCTAAACTCAAGATAGGTTTAATAATAGCATTAGGACGGTTCTTTTTAATACTCCAGCCTAAAGGCTTATTCTGATTTAATGTTGTAATAGAATTATTTCCAGAATTTGATTTTCCTTTATGTCCATTAGTTATAGAATGATTGACAAATAACTGTTTTCGACACCCTGTTGGCACTTCAGCAAAGTTTATATTTGTTGAATCACAAGCTAGATTTTCAAATTTTAATGTGAAATCTGTTTTAAAACAAGCTTTTACAGTCTTCTTTCTATCTTGCTTCCTAGAAATAACTGAAATTTGTCTAATTTCTGTTGTTGGCATTAAATCACTACGAACATTTTTAAACTTTTTACTTTGCTGGTTATTTTGATTTAACATTTTATGTCTTTCAGGACTTGTAAATAACAATTCACAAATGTCTCTCTTTTTCTGTCTGTTACGAACCATGTTGTTAGACTTTTCTATCCGCTTTTGAGATTCTGTTGGTGTCAGTCTTGTTTCACAAAATGATGAAATAGTATCAAATTTCACAAGATTAATAATACTTGCTTCCAATTCTTCACAGGATGAGTTAATATTATAGCTATTAAAAGATAAAAATATGTATATTTAATAAAATAAGTAATAATATAATTAAAAATTTTATTCTTATGTATAATTATAGTAAAAATTTCACCTCTCAAAAACTTATTTAACAAATTTTTGGATTAAAAATTTGAAAAATTTATATACATAACTAATAAATATCAATTTCTCAAATTTCATTACAAATTCATTACATCACGTAATGAATTTTATAACATATTTGTTATATGTATAATTTTATAACACACACACGTTATAAAATTATATAAGAATCTTGCTTTTAAATATTACATAGTATATTTTTATGATTTATTAATTGGATATATGTATGATTAAAATACAATATATTTAAATGGCAATGTCCAATTCAGAATAGAAAAAAATTACATTCTAGAAATTATTATAAAAAAAATAAAATAAAATAAAACAACATAACTGTTTTTTTTAACCTGGTTGTGAGTAATCAAAAGCAAAAAAGGATTATTATTTTAGTATAAATATTTATTTATACTTACTATATATCATGATACCTGATTTTTAGTATGTCAGGCCAAATGTTTTGTTTTTGGTCCAAAGATTTCTGATAATTTTTTTCATTACCATCACAAGACTAAAAAAATTAAATATATTCTTTATATCAATTATTAGTAAATCATGATAAAAAAATTATTAATTCAGAAAACTTAATTTCAGTTAAAGATTTCTTATCAATGCAATAACTGTTCAAACATGATGCCCAGTTTTTTCTGAATTTATTAAAAAAGATATACATTTTATTTGTAGAGACTAAAAATTATGAAATTTCTTTACCAGCCAAGCATATATGAATATTTTTAGATTTATTACATTTAATGAATAATATATGTTTATGTTTATAATCCTAAAGTTAATTATATAGCAATACTTGTCAACTAATAACAGTACATAATATTGAATTAAATGGTAGCAGAGATGTTTTCATATCAATACCTATCATTCATAAAAATATCACTTTTCAATGGAATTTTGACCAATTTTACTTTGTACCATCCATTTCAAAAAATTGCTTAGATTCTTCATAGGATATTGACATCCCTGAATATCAAACTACTACAGGACTAATAATTAACCAAATATGGTAGCTAAGATTCATTCTCTTATGCAAAAGGTATAAAGAAATACATATAGAGAAAAGATAATCATGACAACTGAATCAACATAACCTATTAATGATGTACAGTACAATGAATTTGCAGCAGTTACAGTAGCTTAGTAATTGTGTGTGTTATCTTTTTTAAAATACAGTGATACCCCAAACTTAAGCGATAGGTGGGACCAAGCTATAACTGCGTAAGTTGAATTTGTGTAAGTCAGGGTATAATTTTGCAATTTGTGTAAAACCCAAGTCGGATGTATGTAAGCTAATAAATGTTCTCGTTAATCTTATCTCATCTTTTGATTCGTTCACGGTTGCAACAAATCACCACACAGAGTCTCTCGAGTCTCCGTAGATATAACAAACACAGAAATAAATAACACAAAATAAATTGTGGCTATGTGTCAATTCCGTGCGACACGTCTTAACATGTAAGCCAAACAATAGTGTTGGGGGATTGAGTAATTGAGAGTTGCTTGGCGCTCAAACAAAAGACAAATTGACAAGATTTGAAAATCGCGTAACTCCGGGTTCTTATAATTTGGGTAGCGTAAGTTGAGGTATTACTGTATACTATCTTTTTTAAAATATAATGTAATTTTTATATATTATATATACGTGGTACGATTCAAAAGTTTGGGGACTGCAGTAATGTATGACAACAAAAGCATGTATTTAAAGTTACAGCATATGAAATGGATTCTATCAAACCACCCTACGTGTTCAGGTTGATTTCGCCCATGTCACATGATTAAACCGCGAGTGCTGTTGTTTTTTTTCGGAGATAGTTACCTTTGTTTTGCGACGTAATAAAAATGGAGTATCAAGAATAGCGCTGCAACATTAAATTTTGTCAGCATTTAGGTAAAACATCTATGAAGACTTTAAAATTGCTAAGAAAGGTGTACAGTGATTCTACCATGGTGAAATCAAAAGTTTAAAGAGGGCCGAGAATCCATCACAGATGATGAACGCTCTGGCCGACCTTCGACTTCACAGAACGAAGAAAATGTTGAGTTGGTCTCTCAATTATCTAGACATTTTACATCGTTTGAGGGAATCCATTTGTCATAAACGGCCGCAGATCTGGCGAAGTGGAGACTGGTACCTTCTGCACGACAACGCACCTACACATCGGTCCCAAATGGTCACACAGTTCTCGCCAAATCTCAAATCAATGTGCTTCCACACCCCACCTATTCACCGGACTTAGCCCTGTGTGATTTTTATTTGTTTCCATCAATGAAAAAGCATTTGCATGGACACCGTTTTGTGTCATCAGATGAGGTGAGAGCAGCATTGCAGGAGGCCTTACAGGAGGTTTCAAAAAATGGCTTCCAGCAGTGCAGAAGTTATATGAGCACTGGCAAAAGTGTATCATTGCCCAAGGTGATTACTTTGAAGGTGGTTGTGCATCGGCAATATAAACTTTTTAAGGTAAGGAATTTTAAGCCAAGTCCCCGAACTTTTGGATCGTACTATGTATAAGTTGAACATGAAAAATAATGATGGCAATGGGATACAATTTTCAAGGCCACACAAGCCTACATTGAATATGTACTATCCATACATTTCTATATTCAACAGTTGACTCAACAGTGAATTTTCCGTTGAGTCCCTCTGTTGAACGATCTGACATCACATTTTGCAGAAAAAAGAAGCACTTTCATTGAGAGGTCGCTTTTCAAGATGGCTGACTTAAGTAACGAGAAGGTGGCGATTGTGACTGTTTTGCTAAATAATTAAAGTAACTTGCTTAACATTATTCGAATAAATCCTTTTGTTCAAATGAACCCATATCTGTATCATTTTCTTTTATACTGAGTCTTTCTTTAATAATTTTAATTAATTTCTTGAATATTTATATCATTAGGAAGACTTAGAGGACCAAATATCGGTCATAATCAATTTTGGACTAATGAAAAAAATCTTAATACAGTCAACCCACTATAACACTGTTGATAATTCCATTTTCTATGAATTCCATGTTGTACGAGTACAACATGGAATTCACTTAGATTTTACAAATACATGAGCTGTTCACAGTCAGGCACATGTATTTGTAAAATCTAAGTGACTCATACAACATGGAATTCATATAAAACGGAATTATCAACAGTGTTATGGGGAGGGTCAACTGTATTTCAATATTGACCAAATTATCCAACATAATCGTGCAATCACATGTTTTATCATATACAGATCGTTCATTAATCTGTCCATATTACAGCATCCACAGCAGCGAATGAATAGTTTCTATAAGCGAAATTTACTTTTTCATGGAAGCCGCCATGTTAGTTTGTTGAAGACCGTTGAGCTCAACGGTGAAACAGCGCTAATGTCACTAGTCACAACGGAGAACTCAACAGTCCATTTAGAAACGTTGTTCTCTCACTGTTGAGTCAACCGTTGAATATAGAAACATATGGTATGTTTATTGCTATCAGTTTCTGTACGTGTGTTCCACAATACAATGCTGTTTAGGTGTATAGCATTTCAAATCAATTAATTAATTATGACATTATTAAGAAAGTTTTACAAAAATATATAGATAGTTAACCATGTTCAAAAGAATAAAAAATTATACCAAGCAAATACTGCAATCTTTGTGTTGAATTGACATTATTATTACTTCATCTTAACGCCTTAAGTTCTTCGCCCGAGTTAACTCTGGCAGGTTACATAGCCTTACATAAAACTCGGTCCTTTCGGCCCCCCAAATTTTTTTTTTTGAATTTTTGGAATGTTTTTTAAGTCTCCAAATTTTTTCAAAAATTTTTACCTGCGCAAAAAAATTTTATTGCGATTTTAATTAGCCTTTGATAAGGCTCAATTAAGGCTTAATTGTTTTTAATGGGATTTTTTTTATCAAATTTAATTAATCGTTCTAAAGTTGTAGTGCACAGATTTTCCTTTGGTAAAGCTATTTAAAGCTACTTTATGATGTCAAAAATGACCTCCAATAGTTTTTTAATTTATAGATTTTATTATATACACGTTTAATTAAGTTGGGGGGTCGGAAATCGCAATTAAAATTTGAATTTTTTTAAAATATTTAAAAATATATGGCCAGCTACTACTCACCCTACTACAAACCCTTTGCCTCCCGAGACTTCTATGAGAATGTCCCGGGAAATCCGACTCCAGCTGTGTTCAAGATCATCCAGCTGTGTAAACAATGACTCATCGGTGTCAAATTTCACAGAAAGGTGAGACAAAGGAAAATAAAGTTTGAAGCTTTTTCTTCAAAATTAACACATTTCTTTCATTTTTTTTCAGTTTTAAGTATTTTTTATGTTTAATTACATTAATATCAAAAATTTCTGGGAACTTAAGGGGTTATCTTATTATAAAATTTAAATTAGAAAGTGTGATAATCCTCAATCAAGCAGCTTTGCATAAAGTTAGATTTGATTTGCTTTGCATTTTGGGTGTGTAGTAATTTTTTATGTTTTTATTGTAAGGAACCAAGCTGTAATATTATTTAATTTTATTTTGCTTTTTATTCTATTTTGTTTGGGGTTTATGTTTAGTTAGGATGAAGGTTCCCTCACCATTCACCTTAGCAACAAAAAAGAAACAAAAAGAGATGAAGAAAAAAAACCAACTCACTGACTAGACGAAGCATTGTAGGAAACTAACGCACACTTGCGCTCCCAGGCAGAAGTTTGAAAGAAGTTCCGCAGAAAGAAGGGGGAACACCCCACACACACACAAAGTAGAGAACTCGCTAAACCTTGATAAAATAAACATCCCAAAAATGTAATAAAAAGAATAATGTAAAAGGATTTAGTGAGAAATGTCGGAAACTAGGCTTCCCAGGAAAAGACATGCAAATTTATTGTTAAAAGTTAAGTATGTAAATAAGGGGAGTGGTTCCAGAAAGAATTGTGACATCACTTCAGAGTATAAAACGAGCATGACCAGAGAAGACAAGCAAGGTGAGCCCCAGACAGGGATAGATCGAGGTGAATTCCAGAGAGAGATTGGAAACAAGTCTTGAGGATAGCAATAGAAGTATTTCAAAGGAAAGTGGATAAAGAAAAAAAGGTTCCTAGTATTGAGGTGACAGATAGGATCGTAGTTTGTAAGATTCCTTGTACATAGTTTAAGTTGATTGATATTGTCAAATTCCAACGGGAAATGGTTCATAAGTTATAGTGAGTAGATTGTATTATTTTTGTCAGGTTTTGTTAATTGTTTCTTTTCATTGAATAAATTGTTTTTGATTCTTACTAATTTGTATATAGTGAATAATTGAGTTAATATTAAATATCTGAGTTCCTTACTGACCCTTGTACATAGTTATTTCCGGAGCACACTAAGCCCAGACCTGGCATACTAACTGCAAACCCGCGTAAAGTACTCGTTAAGTTAACAGTCATAAAGTTCAGCGATAGTCCCAAACACCTTACTGGCACATAGTATAAAAATTCATATAGTACTTTACATTATGATATTTTGTAAGTTCTTGAGATAGTTGGTAATCCAAGTTTGTCAATTATGGTTGCTCTAAATTGCACATGAAATATTACTTTTGTATTTAAGCTATTGTAGCTGTTGCATATTTTCATTGTTTATCATCAATTAGTTATGTTGATTCCATTGTCGTGATTATTTTACTGAGCAACAAATAAATTTCGTTTTCTGTGTTTCTATGTTCATACATTTAATAACATTCCATAATCTTTAACTGCAAACTATAAAACTTTATTGAGAAATTCTCTAAATTTTTAAAGTATATTTTTATAGTTTATCTGTACTTAAAAGTATTTTTTAAAAATTATAAAATAATTTATCTAAATAATTTTGATTGTGTTTTCATAATTAAATAATTGTGTTTAAAATTTATTAAAATAAATTATACAAATTTATACCCTTACCAAAATTATGGTGACAACTTCAGATTTGATATTACCAGTAGGATAAAAAAGATCATTAAAATCTTCAACTAAAGAAAATAAAATGCATATATATATACATCATGATAATGTTAACATTATTTGAAAAGAATAAATAAGAAAAAAATAATAATAAATATAAATTATAAACTATGAATGTAAATTTAGTGAATATAATAAACAACATATAACATTCTAATTAAAATTATCTATATAATGTATACACAACAATCAAAAAAATTATAATTAAATAAATTCATACAGAAATTAATTATTATTAGTAAATTTAAATTATTATTACAAACTTTTCTTTAATAAATTACAAATTATATTTAATTACAATATTTTTAGAACAAATATCATATCACCTAACAACTTAATAATAACAGTATTCTATAATCTTTTCTAGAATAACAATGGAGTCTATGTTCATTAATATACATATGCAAAAGAACATAGTTCTGTCATTACAAAATAGAACATAAAACATATATTAGAAAATTATAAGATGCATTTAAACTGGTATAATCTATTATAAAAAAAAGTACAGTTGTCCCTTGATAATCCGACAGGTATGGGACCAAAGGTGTGTCAGATTACCAAAAGTGTCCGGATTACCGAAAATAATTACATATTTTGCATTGTTTTGCTAGCAGTAACTTACAATATTCTCTACTCCAACTGTTCAAACAGAACTGTTCACATAAAACACACGAAATGTGTGTCATCGAGTAAGAATTGGATGGGGAGATTCACATCGCGACATGCTTCTGTGCAAGCAGACACGTAACGGGGACAGGTACCTTGACAGGAGGTGTGTCGGACTACTGAGCATGTCAGATTAAAAAACCTCGGACTATAGAGGGACAACTGTATGACATTGTGTGAAGTTTAAATATCAATAAAATTATTAACATAGTATTACCTTTTATACATCTTGTTTGTTCATTTTTTGTTTTTGTAACTAATTCATTGAAAACCATATTTCAGTTGTGAGAACAAACCTGAAATAAAAATAAATCAATGATTTACGTATATTATGACTCAAGTAGAAATATTTCTATTTAGAAAATTTTTAAAATTTATAATGTAGGGTCAATGTTGGTAAATATGAGACACTTCAAGACTTTTGTAACAGCATTTGTTAGGATCAGTATTTTACAAAGAAAAATGCATGACTTCTGCAGATGGTGTTAAAATCTAATGGAGTATACATTTTTTCTGTATGTATGAGAAATGTTGAGCAAAAATTTTTTTCCATCTCATATTTTTCTTTCAAAAGATAAAATATGAGACACCCATTATATCACCATAAGGACTTGCCTATGCCAGCAGGGAGGTTAATAATCAGGAACTACAGGTTAAATGCAAGCCATTTTTGTATAAAACATTGCTCTGTGATATTTAGTTCCCAAGATATATAATTTTTAAAAATGATTTTTCGTACAGCTTATTTTCTTGACATTTTCACATGAAATTTTTTAATTAAAGTAAATAGATAAGATTAAATATTTATCATTGGAAATTATGCTGTAGTTGTGTACAATATAAAAGTGTAAAATAAAACAAAATTTTAAAGACGTAGGCCTAGGCCTAAGTGATTTTATTAACCTTTTTGAACAAAGTATATTACAATACCAACTATTTTATATTACTAATAGTAAATACATATGGTATATACCTAAATTAAATGTTTAAAAAATAAAAAGATATTTCAAGAGCCTCCAACAAACAGATAATAAAAAGATAACTAAACTGGGTTAATAATTCAGTAGGCTATAGCAGTGGTTCCCAATTAGTTTTTCCTGCGTACCACTTCAAGAAAGAGCTCAAACTTGCGTACCCCTTATAGCAGAAATTCATATTAATCCACACTATTATTATAAAATCGAAGGTAATTCTGTCTGCCTGTCACCTTTTCACGTCTAAACCACTGAACAGGTTTTAATAAAATTTGGTACAGAGATAGCTTACATGTTGGAGATGGACATGGGCTACATTTTACTGCGAGAAAATATCTTACTTCCACAAGAAAATTCGATATAATGCAGGCGAAGCTGTGGGTAGACAGCTAATGATAAATAGAATAAGTTTTTTTTTTACATTTATTACCTTTAAAATACAATTCTAATAATAATGAAAATAACATAAAGTTATTTAATTTTAATGTGCATGATTTTCTTTGCACAACTTTGAAAAATCTGGTTGCTGTTTGGTCAGCTTCAGTCTAAAGCAGCGTTTCTCAAAGTGGGCGATAACGCCCCCTTGTGGGCGCTGGAGGCTGTCAGGGAGGCAGTAGAAGGCTCAGAGAATTGGGGGGCGTTAAGGAAATATAGAGGGGCGACGGCAGACAAATTCTATATATAAAAATTCGACGGAATATATATAAAATGTTGACATTTTATATATTTTTTATTTTTTATTGAAGGTCACAACTTGAATATTTCTAACACATTGACTTTTATTTTAGCTCAGCGTTTCTCAAAGTAAGCAATAACGCCCCCTTCTGGCGCGATGAATAGATCTATGATAGAGGCAGGGTATTGAACGGTGACCAACGGCTAAATTGGGGCTGATAAGAGGAAACATTGCGTTTAATGGTTTCCAGATGATGACAACAATGTACAGTAAGGGCACAAAGTGGAGATTCATAGAAAAGTTTTCCTAAGAATATTTTCAATCCTTTTCTCACACAAGAGAAAATGGGTTAGGGGGCGTTGGGTATAACTTTATGGAACAAAGGGGGCGGTGGATCGAAAAAGTTTGAGAATCACTGGTCTAAAGTCATCTTTGAGTTGAAGTCGGTGACGATGTTTACTTTTCATGTTTGTCATGGACGAAAATCCACTCTCGCAGAGGTATGTTGTGTAAAATCGTAGTAAATATTTTATTGCCGCTTCGCTGATATGATAATATTGATAATTGTACAATTAACACAAATTGTCTTAATTGTACGATTTTTGTTTCTTATGTAAGAATTTCATTTAGGTATTATCACAAATGCATTTTTTAAAATGAAATTTTGAGAATATTTTTAATTATAAATAAACAAATTTGTGCATTTGACATCATGTTGTAAATTGCCGAATTTTTGATGGTCCACCCATTATTTTTTTGATTGCTTCATCTCACGCATTTAAATTTTAAATCGACCGATTTTAGATTGCCGCACGTACCCTTAACACAATTTCACATACCCCAGGGGTATGCGTACCACTAATTGGGAACTGTTGGGCTATAGCAAGGGTCGGCAGTTTGTCAACTGAGAAGAGCCAAATTGTCATGAAAACAGGATAACAAAAGTACCAGAGAACCGCATATTAATTTAAATGTGCGAAATACGACACACGACAGAGATGCCTCTAGTGGCCGTTTTCGGCATAACGTTACATGGATGGACGGACACGCGTTCAATGGGTTATATATATATATATAGATATGCTTCAAATGCTACCACTCTTATGCGACTCATATTGATCAACGCGAGTGTGGTTATGTGCGGACGGAGAACAAGTCAAAGTTTGTTCGGCGGCTCTATCTCAAAACTCATGTTATAAGGCTGCGGTGAAATGAGGTGAGATGAAATTGGAGTTTATTTCCGAAGAGCCGCAAACGTCTATGCAAAGAGCTGCATGCGGCTCACGAGCCGCTAATTCCGACCCCTGGGCTATAGGAAAGGAGAAAAGGAAAGGAAGGAAAAGGAAAAATACAGTATAATGCAAATTAGTAAATACACTTTTTTCACAAATATTTTGGATGCACTGTGTTCTCCTTCAACAGAAGACAAATTACTTCCCTTTCTCCTCTCCTATAATGAATTATTAATAGTAAACACAAAGCTTTATTCAATGGCCTATTGAGAAACATAAAAAAAGTAATAAGCCTACCACTAATTAAAGAAAATTTACTTAACTAGCTTAGTCTAAATAAAATAGGACTACACCAAAATAAAACATTTTAGGAACAATTGATTATTTAATTTGCATGGAATAAAAATAATGAAGTCAATAAAATAATAGCCCTGCTGTTTTCTGTGTATTAACATTAAGTTAAATTAGGTGTTATTATATATATATATAATATTAAACATTACATTTCAAAAATATTAATAGGCTGAACTTAAATAAAAAAGAAGTTCCATGGAAACTGATGACTGGTAAATAAAATCTGGTGTTTCATTTTTTACCTATGGTGTGTCATATTTTCTACCTCATTTTGAAATGCACAAAACTCAGACAAAAGATGGTATATACAGTGGTACCTCAGGATATGAAATTAATCCATTCCGTAACTGAGATCGTAAGGTCGTAAGGGTCACCTTACGACATTTTCATGTCGTAAGGTGAATCATTTTTCCCCATACGATTACATGTAAAACCAAATAATTCATTCCAACATGAAAAGCACACTCAAATTAAAGCTCAGTAGTACATTGAAAAAAAAACTTTAGTAAGGAAAACACTGAAAAATGCATTTTGTAGTTGTAAACGTATAAATAACCATAATAGAATAATAATTGATTTAAAAAATGTAGTTTTATTTGCACTTTACCTTTGAGGATAGACGATGGTGGAGGTATAAACTGGTGACAGAAGAGAGAAAGAAGGGAAATGATACTAAAACTTAACTTATATAACATAATGTAACAATAAGTTAAAAATAATTTAGAAAAGAAAAAAAATTAGTGTTGTTTTATATATATTTTTTAAATTTTTATTCACTGCTTTTTGCTTTCTTTCCTTCGCTTCCATCCACACTTTCACTGGATAGAGGTCACTTGGTAAAATATCTATCCAAAGAGGTTTGGCTTTGCCTGCTTTTTAAAATTTTTCTAAAATGACTTAGGTAAACGTCATTACTGTGAGCAGCAATACGGCCAGTGTGAACCTTTTCGGAATGTTTCTTTTCAATAAAATCAGTCACTTTCTGATAATACCTCAAGATTTCCTTTATCAAACGAGATCCTTCCACGATGAAGCAAACGCGAACCAATGAACAGAAGTGAATAAAAAATGGCGCACTGCAAACTAATGTAACGTCGTATGGTGAGATTTTGTTCATATCATGGAGCAAAAATATGTTCGAATTTCATGTTGTATCCTGAAAATTTCGTATGCTGGGGCGTTCGTATCCTGAGGTACCACTGTACAATAAAAACAACTAACAGCTGAAAGCTGCATTTATATACTACGTACAAATTTCTAATTAAATATCAATGTCTTTTGCAGACATATACAGTTGAACTGACAGAAAAGTTTTTGCACCTATTTTTTTTAGTGTTTCTTAAAAATTAAAAAGTCTCAATGAAACCATAGTCATATACATTCAGAAAAGTTATATTAAAAAGCACTAAATAAACTTTATTTTGTATTAGTACAGGACAGATCAGACATAGGTTAAGTCAAATTTTATAACTGTCTCATATTTACCAATTTTTCAGGCTGTCTTATATTTACCCACATTGACCCCTAAATTTTATAAATTTATTTTGTAAATTTTATGGCTTTATTTGACATTTCTGTAAAAATATTTCTTCAAAATCTGTATTCAGAACCATTTTCTTTGCAAATTTTCAGTCAATTGACGATTACTGTTTACCTGTCTGGGCAATTATTTGTTTCATAAAGTACAATCCAAATTAGATAAAGTTTATTCCCTGATATATAAATTTTGTAATCTACCTTATACCAATAACCATAATGTCGCAAAAGTTCACCTTGGTCTTCCTAATCTTACAGATCGTTTGAAATACTTTGATTGCATTCTATGTTTTAAATACTTTAATGGTCAAATTTCAAACTACTGGTTAAGTCTCTGCATTCCAACTGTAAGAACTTACAATACATCCTGCTTTTTCATCCCATTCTTTCACCTTTCTCTCTCACAAAAATCTTTTTTCTACTGCATAACCTCTCATATATATCCTGTAGAACAGTATCTATATCGTAATTTTAACTTTTTTTTAAAATAAGTGTAAATCCGTTCTGTATAATACATAATGTAA